CCATCCCCAGCCTCAACCAGGAGTCAGACAAACAGCAATAATTCAGCAACAGGAACAAAGCAATCTGACCTTTAGGCTCAGGCACGGCAGGGTTTAAATAGGTTGATATCAGCCACTTATCTGGAAACTAGGAACAGGTGTGCAGCGGTCTAGGAGTAGAAACTCAGACAACATGACACAAGGAGAGGCAAGAAACCAAAAAATATTCATGGAGTCAAGGGTTAGGTCACTGACTGGGCTGCAGAGGACACGGATTTGATTCAAGCCAGGCCCAAGAACACAATTTTGCAAATGGCATGATGATAATTGTGAATTTACCCTGCTTTCAAAGATGCCCTTGCGTGAGTAGAATCCAGAAGTTTTCTTTTTGGATTTTCAAGTTTTAGAGTTACCAGCAGGAGAGAAGTGAAAGGTTTGCAAATCCTCTATACAGACTAGAGTCCCGTTAGAAGTGTAGACGCAATCAGGATCATCATTGACAGGACAAGCAGGAGTTGTGGTACTTGCCGTCTTAGAAGCTGAATTATCCATTGGTATAGGAGTCTTTGGTTTCTCTGTGACAGGTTCTAGCAGGACGTCAGGAGCAACAGCCATAGGAGGGTGAGGAATGGTCAGAGTGGCCAAGCACTAAAAGGTAACATGTTGGCATACAGACCTCATAGGATACGAATGGGTAGTACCCACTCTGAGAACTTGAGGCCTAGATGGGCAAATAGGACAATAAGAAATTACATGTTCCCTCTCCCCACAATAAAAACACAGTCCATGAACCCTCCTTCTTGCCATTTCTTGGGGTGACTGTCTAAATGAGACTAACTCAATCTCCAGAGGTTTCTCGGTCTCCAAGACAGATGAATACGATATGGTGTGCAGCGGTCCAGGAGTAGAGACTCAGACAACAGGACACAACGAGAGACAGACAGAATCCAAAAAGAGATGCGTGGAGCCAAAGGTAAGCTCCCTGACTGGGATGCAGAGAACCCAGGTTCAATCACAACTAAACCCAAGAACATAATTTTGCATATGGCACGATGATGATCGTGACACATATACTATCCACAGCCTGAACCTTGTATTCTATTATTTTCATTTTGTTTCCACAATGTACCAGTGTATCATATTTCCATACTTACATCATTCTGTATCATTTACCCAAGAACCAACTACACTGTATGTATGTTTTACTTGTTTTGGTGTGGATAGAGAGGTTACCACACAGGTGTTTAGAGCGTGTTGGTATTCGGTTGGGCTTTGTATTTCTTTTTCATATACTCGTTACATACCCAAATCCGTCCAGGAGATATTTAATGCCTTTAAGGAAATGTCTGGATAAGTTGTATGTATTGTTGACTGTATTAAAAATGTGGATTAACCATATTTTGCCCTCTTTTATTTACAGGCCTACCGCATCATCGGTTCTGGCACACCACAACCGACTTGCTCTTTTATACTATTCTACGCTTATACTTAACCCTTACTCCTTATATGGCTTTGTGCCCCTTACACAAATATATATATATATATATATATATATATATATAAAAATCTAAATAATGAATAAATTAAAAAAATATATATACATGTGTATTTTTGTTCTAACTGTATTTTGAAATATGGGAAGGCAGAGCCTGTAGTTGTGGGAGGGGTTGCAACCGGCCTATATAAACTCTCAACTTACCTCCATACCTTACTGACCGCGCTTGGTTACTGTTTGAGTGACGGTTGCCACGACAACCAGCACTCCCGGTTTCCTCGGCCCTCTATTTGCTCCAGAAGCAGCCACGGACTCGTCTTCAGCCGCTGACCTGGCTCACGGCTCTCCTAACCCGGCTTGCAACTTCATTTGGGGCTTCATTTGCTGAACCTTCTAACCGGTTCCCGTTCTTCCTAACCGGCTTCCAGCCGTACAATCACGTATGTACACTTGGGAATCCGTTCACGGCGTTCCCACTTTCGGGCCTAACAAATGCGGGGATTGGCTCCAACCGTTTAGCTTTAGTATGCTGTTCAGCTAACTCTGTTCGTTTGCTCGCAGTAGTTAATCCATTTGGAAAGGGCGTTCGTTTAAACCTGGCAGTTATCACATGGTTTAGTGTAAATCAAGTTGTATGAATTTATTTTATGTATTTCGTTATAGCATTCGTATAAAACTCTTCATTTAAAATCTAGTCATGTAACCCCTTTCGTTTAAACGTATTCGGTCATATTCATTTAGTCTAATAAGTCATTTAGTTTAAAAGGCATTTTGTTTAAAAGTCATTTTGTGTAAAGTTATTTTGTTAAGAGGCGTTTAGTTTAAAAAACAGGTCGTTAAAAGTCATGTCATTTAAAAGTCATTGCGTTTAAAAGTCAATTAGTTTAAAGTCATTTAGTTTAAAAGTCACTTGTGATAAATCATGTCGTGTAAAAGTCATTTTGTTTAAAAAACTTTCATTTAAATACTGTTCATTAGATATTCCAGTTAACCATGAGTATCCATTGCCTCCGTCCCATACACTCAGGGCATTCGGTTATTAATCCACCCGGTTGCACTATATCATTCATACGTTAGCTACATAGTATAGACTTTAAAATCCTAAAGATGCACTTATAATGCATGTCTTACTTAAATTACGTTATTGACTGCACATACGGGTATGCAAGACATCAAGTATATTATTAGGAAAGTAAGTTAAAACTGCATTGTCATACCCTTGCAGGACTTCGGATTTTGCTCAAGTCCAGCAGACATGCATCCCAGCACAAGGGATTGTCTGTAAAACACGGTATGTTAATTCATAGGCTATCTCAGGCGGTTTGGCACAACAAGCAATCTGACCTAGTAAAGAACCTAATAATCAAACAATAGACTACCATAGCCAAAACGAGAATATTACATATATGTGTTATCATGTCCTTGTAGGAAATTTCATCCCCAAGGCGAAATCAGCCCATACGCATCGGCAGTGAATTATACACCACCGCATAATCTCTTATTCAAGAAGAATTAAACAGACCCAAACGCTTAGTTCTCTGACCAGGTTATATAAAAACACAAAACAAAACATTTATATATGTAAGGGGATTATTTTCTATTGCATGTATACAAACAAAAAATTTTTTTTGATTCCTTTCATCATAGGCCAAGCAAACTAAGCATATACCTGTACAACAACACCCCTAAAGACACACTTGTCAGGTACGTATAAATCAAAGCATTCATACGATACGACTCAGGCACTGGAATAATTGTCAGGGATATGAATTGCACCACTTAAGATAAGCGTGTAACATTTTCCAGAAGAGCACCAACCATCCTTGTTACGGTACC